TTCTCTAGGCAATTTAATATGTTTCAGGCCTATTGTTTTGAATCCTCTCACAAAGGAAGTAAGTTGCAAATCCACTAAGCAGATTTTTTTATAGTTGTACTAGAATTTCTGAACATATTGGTAGGTCTCAGTGGATAAATAATTCAGGTGCAAAGTATCTACTGGAGTGTCATACCTCCTCAAAGTGTAACCTGGCAAGTGACAATCAGCTTTCTGACCCTCACAATTCATGAACCTTTCTATAGTTTTTTCCTGTGTGCTAAAATTGGGGGGTGTGGGGGTGTGACTAGTGTGTCACATCAGTTAGGACAGGCTAAGAAATAGTGAGCTTGAACTGTAACGAGAGACTGAGGTCAGAAACTGGGATAAAATCTTCCCAGTTACTATGCCAGTTCAAGGAGTTCCCAACCCCAGTTCTGTCTGTATCCCACTTCCAGCTGCTCACTGCCAGATTACTTGTTCACTGGCACTGATGCCTTTTTACTCCTCCAGAGCTATTTTTAGCCTAGGTCAGTCACTGATCCTGTCCACAGGACATTGCCACAAAGGGTTGTGCTGGCAGCACCAGGAAGCAGCGTGGGGGAATGCAGCTGCCAAAGAAAGCAATACAGTACTGCAGCTGAACAGCAAAGATAATTGAGTGCAGAAATGGACTGCCTGGGGCAATTGTGAAATCTCCGTTGTTAGTGAGTTTGAAAAGCTTCAAGACAAACATCTGTCAGGAACAGTTTAGGCAGAGTTGATCGTCCCTCAGGTCAGGGACCAGGGATCTTTCACTCATACCAGCCCTATCTTCTAGGACTCTAGGATGAATCTCCATTTTCCACCTTCTTGCTGTCACCCTTTTAATCATGTTAATGCAGTTGGGTGACATCCTGAAGGCTACATCTCCAGTAAGAAAAGCAATACTCTGTTCCTGTAAAACTGGAATAATTCACACTAGAAGTAGACTGTATAGCCAAAGAGAATTGCTGCTATCTGCTGGTATAATTCAGCTTGGAGCAAAGGCAAGTATGTCATCTAAATCCTATTTCTAGCAGGGCTTATTTAACTAAGTGACTACATAGATGTCACTGATCTCATTTTTTTTTATTGTCTTCTATAGAATACTATACAAGCAGCTGAGCAAGGGCTTTCTCACATCTCTTACAGCTGTGAGATGAGAGAATAAGAAAAATTGCCACAGGAAAAAAAGCAGAAAAAAATCTTCAGTAAAAGACTGAGCAACAAATGGAATAACAAAACAAGACAGATTACACACACAAACAGGTCAATGTCTAAAGAAAAGAGAGACATTTATTTTTCCAGTCTTTATCTAGCAGTCACATTAATCTTTCACGACCTTCCACAGGCAGATAGTACTCACAAGCTCCTTCCTACCTTTCCCATTCGAGGTTCTCCAATCAGTGCTCTGAATTCAAGGTTGTTCAGAGCATAGCTTCTTAGGTGAGCACAGACATGATCCAGCTGTTTTCTCCAGTAACCTGATCAGAGAGAGTGAAGCAAGAAAAAGAACCTTAAAATGTGATTAACATTTCTTCTAGTCAAGTGATGGAAGATTTAAAAGATAGCACAGTTTCAGTTGAGGCAAAAATAAATTTGAATTTTTCTTTAGAAAATTCATCTAATCAAGAAAATGAGAAGGAAGATATACCCAAAAAAACCAGGTGAAACACTGTCTTATCTATAGGTTATAATTCATCCTTAGGGCATCTCTATTCACAACAAAGCCATGCCTTGAAATAGTCCTTGGGAGTTAAAACTGGTTCTGTGTGAAGGGAGAATCTCACACTATTGCAGACCATAAAGAAAATGTAAAATATTACAATTAAGCAATTGTGTATTATTGAACTGATTTTTAGTTGACTTGGTATAACTGACTGGTAACAATAAGCCAAATCTGAAAAGTGCAGACACAGAAACTCAACATATACAGCATTCTGGTCTATGTAAATTATTCTCCAAATAAATTCCTTTCAATTATATATGGGAGACCTTATTAAATGCTTAGGCACTCCTGTTCTTTTGCCTGTCAGGATCTCTGTGAGAGAGTCAGCATTCCTTTATGCTGATACAGGGCATGAAAGATGAGGGGCTGAATGCACCTGGATTAAAAACTCATCTTAAGTCACTTAGAGTTTCTGCACCTCCAGTCCAAGCATTTCCGCAACAACATTCCGATTTCATCAGAGAAAGAACTGAAAGGACTTACGCTCTTTCTTAACTTATGTTTATCAGGATCTGGTTAATTTTCTCTTTTAGCATATTTATGGAAAGTACAGAGCGTGATTAATTTTGTTGTAAATAAATTGTGCAGGCTTAGTAACCTCATTGAACTTACACAATGAAGTTGCTCTGACTTTATCCTTTCCTTCACATTAAATGAAGATCAGAACAGTGAAAAGAAACTATGCTAGAAGGCAAGTGCTGCTCTAACTTTTACAAGAGATGGCAAGTGCAGAATGAGTTTTGTGCTTGGAAGACTCTTCCAAGGTCAGACTGGTATAAACTATGACCAACTAAACCAGCAAGTCTTATTTGTTAAGCAGCTTTAAAGGAATATAAAAAGAAGGATCCACAGAACAACATAAATTGTTCCCTGCCCTGGTCTCACATGCAAAAACTAATACAAGTTGAAAGTAGTGATTCAAAAATCTAAGCTAAACTACTACTTGGTGAGTGATCCATTCAGAGAAGTCAGTATTAATTGCAATAAACTGATTCATAACTAGCCAAGATTCCCAGGTTTCATTTAAAAAAAAATCCAGATGGCCAGGATCATATTCTTGCATGACTGATGGTTTATTATATCTCAAAGGATATTTGGCAGCACCGATGGAACACTCGAACCCATGCTGACAACAGCTGCTTACACACATATCACACTGATTTAATGTTTGTTACAGTAGAAAAGCGAAGTCTTCTTTGTAAAGTTTACCTGGTAAATATCTTGGCTCCTGTTCTAAACAGACTGAAAAGTACCACAGAAAAAGAAATACAGTACACACCAGAGGATTAGTGTTTTGGTACTGGTGTTGTTTCCCCCTCTCTTAACTGTTTTGGTTTTGTTTTTTTCAACCTTCACAAAAGAAAAGGTTAGTTAATGGCTGTTATGGTCAGGAAATAATAAAACCTCCAGATCTATCTAATCACTTGTATTAAAAAATGTCTGATACTATTTTAATCAAAGAGATAATGGTTATATTTGACATATTTTTCCTGGGTGATAGTGTATGGCCTTGTTGATACAGATAGTTTCAAGCCATGTACGCAGCTTAGCATCAAAGAAAGGAACAGCATGAACTGATTGTAACAGACATTTACTGATTTATGGAATGAAATGTGTTCCTCACTCCTTGGCAGGGTCTAATGGAGTACACATTACACAGTGCAACTTCAACAAAGTTGCCTGTACTAAATAGATAAAAATTAACATAGTTCAAAAGCAGTTCAGAACTTCTTCTCAGCCTTTCTCAGTGACAGCAGTTCTCACCCACAAGTCAAGAGCTGTACTTCTGATATAGACAAATGTTCAGTGTTACTTTACTTTTCTCTCAGCACCCTTATGAGCCAATTCTTTATTATCTCTGACTAAGTTTGACATGCTGACATGTTTGACATGTTGAGTCAAGTCTTGTATGTCCTACAGTGATGTTTAATTAAACATGCCATATTTCTGAGCAAAGGAGTAAGAAATATGGTGAGTACTTTCATAATAAGACTGCATCTGCATACAGGTACACAGAGTCAAGAATGAATATTTCCAACATTCATTGGCAACCTTTTCTATCCAACAGAAAAATAATTCTGATAACTCCCAGGGGATTGTGGAAAAGAGCTAGAGATGGGACAGCAGATCTAAACAAGCTTCTCCAAACCATGGCTTCATGCTGTAGTGGTGTAAGATTAACTTATTCTATGGACTGCACAGCTGGACTGCCCTGTAAGATTAACTGCAAATTGGGCCATATATTAGATCACTAATTAACACTGATGGACTGTCTTCACGGGTTTGGGATCCAGAAAGCTGAAGATTTCCCAGGATAGTAAAACTAAAATCTATAAAAATTGCAAACATTTGATGACAGCAAACAAGTGATTCCAGAAAGAACAAACTGACCACAGACCTCTCTGTGAAACAAAGCTGTCTGCAGTACTGATGAACACACTCTGCAATGAGCAATGTAGCTGTACTAATATCTTTGGGGAGACTGGAAGATGGAAACTTCTGAAACTTCTATAATTTATTACACAACAGTACCCCAACCAAGTCCTTCATACAGAGTTCTTCATAACACAGAGAGTCAGCAGCTCATTCTCCATGTGGAGGCCAGTGACGAGTGGTGTCCCTCAGGGGTCAGTGCTGGGGCCAATGCTGTTCAACATCTTTGTCAGTGACATGCACAGTGGATTGAGTGCACCCTCAGCACGTTCACTGACAACACCAAGCTGTGTGGGGCAGTCACAGCTGGAGGGAAGGGATGTGCCATCCAGGGGAACCTTGACAGGCCTGAGAGGTGGAACAATGCAAACCTCATGAAGTTTAACAAAATGAAGTGCAAGGTCCTACATCTGGGCCATGGCAATCCCAGACACATCCACAGGTTGGGTGGGGAAGTAATTTGAAACCAGCAGTGAGGAGAAAGACTTGGCAGTCACTGTGGATGAGAAGCTCACCATGACCTGGCAGTGTGTGCTAGCAGCCTGGAAAGCCAATGGAATCCTGGGCTGCATCAAAAGGAGTGTGGCCAGCAGGACAAGAGAGGTGATTCTTCCCCTCTACCCGGCTCCTGTGAGACTCCACCTGGAATACTGCTTGCAGTTCTGGTGTCCTCAACATAAGAAGGACATGGAACTGTTGGAGCAAGTCCAGAGGAGGCCACAAAGTTGGTAAGAGGACTGGAGCACCTCCCCTATGAGGACAGGCTGTGAACGTTGGGGCTGTTCAGCCTGGAGAAGACAAGACTGCATGGAGACCTCACAGAACTTTTCAATATCTGAAGAGCCTACAAGGGAGCTGGAGAGGGACTCTTTGTTAGGAACTGCAGTGATAGGACAAGGGGTAATGGATT